AGAGAGAGAGAGAGAGAGAGGGGGGAGAGAATGAGAGAGAGAGAGAGAGTGAGAGAGTGAGAGAGTGAGAGAGAGAGAGAGAGAGAGAGAGAGAGTCTATCTGTGTAGCGTCTTAAAGGGTCCGCTGTTGTTATGACTGATACTTTTACGCTTGTTTGTTGTTTTGATTCACTGGAGAAATATTATCTAGGTTGCCGCTCATGTGATGATTTCAATTTTCACTCCTGTGTGTGTGCGTTTATTTTTGTCCTAGAACCCGACAAGATTTCATCTGATGGGAACAAGAGGAGTAATGTATTCTGAGAACATCGACGTTATTTCTTGTTCTTGCTGGGGGGTTGGTATGCCCCCCCCCCTCCTCCCTTTACTGAGCGCGTTACCTGCAGTAAGGGAGACGACTTCGGTCTTCTGATCCAGGCTTCGTTCTGTGGGTCGGTGTCGACCAGGGTGGAGTGGTGGGCAAATTCCGGATTCTCACAGAAATATTATCCAAATTCAGAATCTTAACTCTCTTTCCTCACCGGATTGCCGAAGTTGGTGCACACATAATTTGTTCAAGTTGTTCTTTCACGTTTGTGTGTGTGTGTGTGTGTGTGTGTGTGTGTGTGTGTGTGTGTTGCTCTAACCCATTTGCAGAAGCGGTTCAGAACAAATTGGCCGTGGAGGTGCACTAATACTACTAGTATCCGGATGTTGTGAAAGTAAAGCGACTCGTGGCCCAGCTCTAGTGCAGTGAGTGGAGTAGGTTCTGTGCTTCTCTGAGCTTTTCGCTTCTCCCTCCGCTCGGGTGTCCCTGACAGGTCCCAGCAGTGTCGTTTCCCTACCTGTTGGCTTATTTCACATCTGTCAAGTGTTTGGATTTAAGCGCTTTGTTGCTATTGCAGTGACTCTTGGTGGTTATTAGATGTAGTTTAGTTGAAATACGTTTTATTTATTTATTTATTTATTTATTTGTTTATTTACGTGTTTATGTATTTATTTATTGTAATATAGTGTTGTTTGTTTGTTGTAATATGGTTTTCCAATTGTCTTGTTTCTTGGAAATAGTTATCTGCCTGTTCACTGACCAATGAACCCTCGTAAGTAACTTGACAGCGCTTTCGATTTTTGGGAATATCTCCGTGTTCAGAAATAACAGGCCGTTCTAGATGTTCGTTTTCCATACCAGGAGGTTTTCTGTGGTCGGATGTACTCTTGTGACCCGCCATTTCCGGGGTGCTTTGATAGTGGAAGCAGACTTTGTGCTGTTGAAGCTAGAAAGGTGAGCAGAGTAAGTCTGATTCCCTGTAAGGACTTCTCTGTTGACATCCACCTCTTGGCGCTCAGATGACCTTATGCAGTTGTGAGCCCCGTAAAACCTTACTAAACCTAAAAAGGACGTATTAGCTGGTCCAATCAGTAACTCGGCAACTACTGCACGTGCGAGGGTTCTCCCCCCCCCCCTGGAAATATGTTGTCTTACCAGCGACTACCTTAGCAGACGATTCCCTGACTCGAGGGTGGGAGTGTATTCTTGTGGGATGTTGTAGCCTTCGGAAACGATAATTGTCCCAAATAGTGTTATGTCTTCACCCAAACAGTTGTTACTCGTGGCCTCGCCGTGCTAGTTCCGCTCCGTACTCTGCCACCGGAAGTGCGTTGTTCATCCACCAGTGACGTCAGCAGCAGGCATATTGTACAGCTCTCTGAGTGTCATACCGCTCTCTGTCACCGGGAAATGTTTTGTCATCAGTGACGAATTCCAGAAAATAGATCTGATTTATTTCGCGCCAATTTTCCTATACAGAACTAATGTCAGGAAAGTTCTAGATCGTTTGGCGCCAACTTTCCCGCACCTCGCCCATGTCTGGAAAGTTGTCCAGGATGGCCGCCTCCTGCTTCAACAACGACACGGAGAAGAGGGACACGCCCCCTCACGGCGAGTGGGTGGAGCCTAAGTTCGAGCCCGACGGCCTCGACACGCCCCCTGAGAAAGGATTCGCCAATCACAATTGGATACGTAGCTTCAGTGAGCGTGTGCGCAACTTCCGGAGTGGGGAGTTTGATGAGGGAATCAGCGAGATACGACGCCGGAAACTGGCAGGTAGGTCTGTCTGTCTGTCTGTCTGTCTGTCTGTCTGTCTGTCTGTCTGTCTGTCTGTCTGTCTGTCTGTCTGTCTGTCGGTCTGTCTGTCGGTCGGTCGGTCTGTCTGTCGCTGACCTCTACCCCTGTCTATCTGTTTGTCTGTCTATCTATCTATCTGTCTGTGTGTCTGTCTATACCTGTCTGTCTGTCTATACCTGTCTGTCTGTCTTGGTCTCTGTCTGTCTGTCTGTCTTGGTCTCTGTCTGTCTGTCTGTCTTGGTCTCTGTCTGTCTGTCTGTCTGTCTTGGTCTCTGTCTGTCTGTCTGTCTGTCTTGGTCTCTGTCTGTCTGTCTTGGTCTCTGTCTGTCTGTCTGTCTGTCTATACCTGTCTGTCTGTCTTGGTCTCTGTCTGTCTGTCTTGGTCTCTGTCTGTCTGTCTGTCTGTCTATACCTGTCTGTCTGTCTTGGTCTCTGTCTGTC